ACTCCCAAAGAAAAGAATCGGACGAGTCACACTGTTCTCGATTCTCTCAAGGCCACTAGAACGTCAGAGGGGGATGGTTGTGGAAAAAATTAAATCTAACCTACTTTTTTCTGTGCCAAGATAAGTAAGTTTTTAAAATATATCCTTAAATATAGAACAACAGAACCCTTAAGTAGACCAGCCATCATTCCTAACCTGTAAAAATATGGCTATACTTTGATATATTGGTCAAAATATACATGTAAATTTTATTTTCTTTTATATTCTAAAGAGGGGGGAAAAAAAGGCAAATCTGATTTGAGACTCACGTTGCACAGGAGGACCCTAAGGTCTGTGAAGATGGTTCTGGGAATCTGCCAGGTATGCTTAGCAGTTCAAAGAGCCTAACTAAAAATTTTATATTTTCTCTCATATAATTAGGCTGCCCAGACTAATTAAAATCACAAATTTTTCTTTCGGCTGGAATTTTGGTAACATCCGAGATCACATGACGATCAGAGGTCCTGATTGGTCTTTGATGACATCACAGACGTTCTGAGACCCGCAAACAGGATCACACTGTGACTGACGCCCCAGGCCCAACTCGCTCAGCCCCCAGCAGCCAGCAAAGCCAGAGGTCGCGGTTGTGAGACCTGGTCAGGAGTGTGTACTCCACACCTTCAAGTCAGGAAACGTCATGAGGTGGTCATGCGCACAGAGCCAGGTAACGTAAAAGGAGTCCTTGGGGCTGAGCCACTGGCCTACCTGTGAGGACTGTTGGTTTTCTGATGGGAGTTAGGGGCAGCATGTGAGGGCGAACACCAATAGGGTTTTTTCCCTAGTAATGAAGAGATATTTCTTACGACAGATTAAGGAACTCTCTAGAGCCTAGTAAAGACACATTAAGAGATGATAAACAGGAATTTTATCCTTCGTGTACATGAATGTACTTAAATGAAAATGGTTACCACCTGTCACAGAGTATTAAAATGAGTGTTTTTAAATAAGGGAACAAAGGGCATTAGCCCCACTGTTTGCAAGTGAGGGGTAAAGGGAGCTGAACCCTTGTCATTCCCACTTCCTTTCTGAGATCTGCCAGCTGCAGAGGCAGTAAATGGATGAAGAACGCAGCCCTCGTGGGAAGACGAGGCTTGGAGTCTCAGGCCTGCAGTTCAGGCTGAGCAGTGCCGGGCACACAGTGGCTCCACACTTTGTGCTTCAGCTTCCAGCTAAAACAGGAGGCGATACTTCCCTCTCCAAAGAACAGGGTATTGCTGAGAGAGCGCTCGACTGCAAATCAATGAGTCCTTTCCTTCCCACCCCAGTTACCATTTACTTGAAGTGCACACTTGGATGACTTGTCTAATTCCCCCAAGCTTTAGTGTTCTATCCTACGAGTAAACAACACTACTTGTCCTTCCAATCTCATAGGTTGATTTTTTAAACTTATCTTTATTGTTGAAAATGTTAGATGTCCCCCCATTTTCCCCCACTGACCCTCCTCTACCCGGCTCCCACCCCCCAACAAGGCCTTCAGGACACTGTTGTCTGTGTCCGTGGGTTATGCATGTTGCATACACGTTTTTGGTTTATCTCTTCCCACATCCCCCTTCCCTCTGAGACTCATCAGTCTATTCCATGCTTCCACATCTCTGGGTCTATTTTGTTCATCATTTTATTTTGGACATTAGATTCCACAAATAAGTGAGATCATGTGATACTTTTCTCTGACTGGCTTATTTCACTTAGTTGATTTTGAGGATGCAAGATCATTCAGGTCAGTAGGGAGAGGTATCTTGTAAATGGTAAAGCAAATAAGCTAATGCAAATTTATCATCCTATCAATGTAAAATTTATGCTACATTGTTTTTGCTCAGATTGAATCTCGTTTGAGACCAAATCTTCAAGGAATTGTGCCTCCTGGCCTGCTGAAAGAGGGTAAACGGTAAGGGCTTCTGCTCCATTTCCTTAGCAGACCCTGTGGTTGCGCGCCCTCCACACGCCTCAGCAGCTCTGTGCGGTGCTGACGCCCCCATCCTCAGCCCCAGGCAGTCAGCTTAACCCCATCCCTGCCCTGGGATTGCTTCCGGGTGCTCCTTAGAGGGTGCAGTTAGCACTGAAGGCTTAGTTGTCAGGTGAGTCGCTCTCCCACCTGGATGTGAAGGAACCACCTAACCCTGGGAGCTGCCCACAGCCATCCTGACATCATCAGGGCAAAGTGAAGCCCGAGCTGAGGGAGTTGCAGAGAAAAGGGCCATTGCTCTGGTGATCTCATGATCCTCTAGATCAGTGGTCCTCAACCTTCCTAATGCCGCCACCCTTTCATACAGCTCCTCATGTTGTGGTGACCCCCAACCATAAAATTATTTTCGTTGCTATTTCGTAACTGTAATTTTGTTATGAATTGCCATCGGAAATATGTGTTTTCCAATGGTCTTGGGTGACCCCTGTGAAAGGGTCATTCAACCCCCAAAGGGGTCGTGACCCACAGGTTGAGAACCGCTGCTCTAGACTGAATTGGGTCTGAAGCCAGTATACTCCCAGGCTTTTCTGTTAGATGAGGCAATCAATTTTCTTGATTATAAGTTGCTTTTTTTCTGCTCTTGCAAGTAAAATAATCTTAAGGAATAGACCATGTCACCTTGAGCAAGTCTCATGAACCCACTAAACTTCAGTTTTCTGATGTCTAATGAGGGACAGTATCATATCTATCATCTATAGGGTGGCAGTGAGGTTCACTAGTGCTTGGAGAGTGTTTCACACAGAGCTTGGTACAAAGTAAGCATTCAATTAATTGTGACTTTTTATCGTTTGGCCTTCTGGGCATTGTGCTAAGTGCTTTAAGCACATCATTTCCTTTAATCACAACACACGGCCAATCCTATGTGGTAGGATTTATCATCCCCATTTCACAAATGAAGAAATGAGGGTTAGAGAGTTTAAGTGACTTGCAAAATATTGATATTTGACTGATAATTGATGCCTAGAATGTGCCCAACACTGTTAGGTATTAGGGACATGGCGTAAGCATACATGTTCTCTTTGAGTTTAGTTTTAGAGGGCAGAGTCTCACAGCTATCTATTATGAGAGATGATAGATTGATTCTGTGCCCTGGATTTACTGGTATCATGCTCCTAAAAACTGAGCTAACCAGCTAACATCTAGATGAAAAGCAGTAAGTTATGCAACTAAATGCAGACTACACAGATGTCATTTCCATATACAACTTAAAATACATGCATACAGATCACAATCCAATTGCTATTTAATGTCTCCTAAAACCCTGAGCTAAAATGTTACACTTCTTTCATTTATTGATTCATGGGGTTTTAAAAATATCTATAAAGGTATTTTCTCTATATTTTCTGTTTCTGACCTGATGTCAACTTGCATGTTTTCTAGGAGTCTGATCAAGACAAGTAGATGAGATGATACGATGAAAGAAAGCCAGTCTAGGGTCTCCACTGCTCCGCTTTCCTGAGAAGCCTAATGGTGTGTCTTACTGTTCACTTCCGGGCGACATTCTCCAAATGCCCGTCCATGCCACGGGGTACCTCTGACGGAACTCCAGTCACGAGGAGCGGAAGGAACTAGATGGAGAACAGCTCAACTGAAACTCCTCCTTCCAAGTGCTGTCCTATGTGATCCAGAAATTCCTAACAATCAATCTATAGTAAGCCCTGAACAACAGAAATAGGCCTTGAACTCGTCTTCCTAACAACTAGGTCAATATTCCGTCTAGGGAATGGAACAGTGTCAGGACACATCGCAGATGAGAAGCCGCAGGCCTCCCACGGGTGGGAGCGCGGCCCTCTCCTTTCCCGGCTCGCCGGGCTGGTGTGCACCGTCTGACAGAAGGGTCGAAGACGACCTGGAAAAGCATCCTGCAGAGACTGGCACCTGATCTGAAGTCATACATTGAAGCTAACAAACAACTGCGGATAGTGTGTTTCTGGTCCTTTGCTACTTCGTTTCTAGAAATCTGCGAGTCTGGAAATGGACAGAGCGTTCAGCAGATCTAGCTTTGCTCTTTCTCGCTGAGAGACATTGGGTGTATTATTTAACCTTGCCAAGCCTGTTTCTCATATAACATGAGAATAAAAAAACCTACTTTAAAGGGTTGTGGAATAAATGGGCTCAATTCATAGTAGATATTCAATAAAAGAGTTTCTTTCGCCTTTCATGAATTCTCTAAGAAACTATTTAATATAATGTTTCAGAAAAATTGTTCCTCTTAGGGAGTATGGTCTCAACATCACTAGACTTCACTGATTTGGAAGTAAAAATATTAAATACACAGTAGCACATCCGAAGCACTGATGTCCACATTTCTGTAACACAGTGACTTCTGAGTCTCCCCGGGGTACGACTTGGGCTCTCCCCTCCACATCTCCAGCCCTGGCAGAGCCTGCTCTCGGGGAGATCAGCGTGGGCAGAAGGTTCCCTGCCTCTCCTGGTGCAACCCCTCCACGGGTGGTTCCTTCTCTCAAGACCCAGAGATTCCCAAATTGTAGTATCATCAAGGAGCCAAAACGACAGGACTTTCTCTTGAGATTTCAGGGCACCAGAAGCATACTGCGTCTACAAAGAATTGATTCTCTCCCCCCATTTTGTTTCTCACTCTGTCGCTTGGACCACTTTCCTATGAAAACAGCTGCTTCAGCCTCTGCCTATAGTCGTTTTCCCTCGCTGTCCGCAATAAGAATCAGGAAATTCTCTTCCCCAAGTTCCCCTATTCCACACAATCCATCCAATGCAAACCAATTTCTGTAAATAGATGCTTTAGACTGTCAATTTCCCAGTTCATCATAACCACCTAGACTGAAACCCAGTTTAGGCTCAGCTGGAACCCTCTCTACAATAATAATTACTACACATTCTGATTTTTCATCCACTAGCAGTCTGCCTTTCAAATAAAAAAACAAGTATGAAACGGTACAGTGTATAATATAAATTTATTCTGTGACATTTCCTCATTGAAGATATTTTAAAATAGATTGGAATACATCAATATTTCATAAAAAATACCTACAAGAATTTAGGTTAACACCTATAATATACATGATTTCACTGTGAATATCAATTCTTTTTCATTTCGCACCTTTTTTTTAAGTAACATAAAAATGGTAAGGATTGCTGTCTTCTTCTTATCTCCGTTGTCTCACATTTCAATTCAACTGCTAGGTCTTTTCTCAACTATTTGTGTTAATGGTATTTGCTTCTGTTTTTTAATGGGAACAATATCCACTTTCTGTTTCTCAACAGTGGTATTTAGGTTCTTCTTCTCTGATTCTTCAAGAAAATGCTTCACGGTGAGTTTGAACACTAATCGAGGGTCTGGTCCAGAGAGCGGTGGGCAGTTACAGCTCTCTCTAATTTTTAGAGCCTAAAAAAGAAAGAATACAACAGGATACAAAAGTAATACAAAGCAAATATATAAATTTATTAAGATTATTGCAATAATTTTTAATATGCTCAATGCAAAATAAAAGAATACATTCTGTATTTAATAAAAGATATCTTAATTATAACACATAAAAGAGAACCATAGAAAAATTCATGGTAAATAATTACATTTTCATGATTTGTTCACATAATAGTATATTTAGAAAAAACACCAGCATCTGACTGCCTATGTCCTGTTAGGAACACACAAGATCTCTGGTTTCAATCCTGAGAACAACTGTTCAGGTTAGAAAAGATCTGAAGACTCTGAGAGATTGTTTTTAAGAAAAAGAAAAACATAGAAAATAGATGTCTGAACATACTGAAAGAAGATATACATAACTGGGACCATCTGTAGTGAAAATGAGGCTAATAACCTAGAAAAGTGAATAACCTAAGCAAATCAAAATCATGACAATTTTAACTCCGAGAAAAAATAAAATGTCGCAAAGAAAGGAAAAGTAATCAGTATACACATGGCTCAGCTGAGACTAGTGTTTTGTTTTCAGAATACTGACTCGTGATCCAACCAATGTCACAATTTAACCTCACTGGAAAGGGGGCTCATGCCCAGGGTGTGACAGTGACAAAGGAGAGCTTGACTCTCAGCCTCCAGGGAAAGGAACTAGATAATGCCTAAAACTGAAAGTTAGGAAGCAGCAACATAAGTGTGTTACGTAGAATGATAAGAAATATCCAAAGAAGCCGTGGCTGGTTTGGCTCAGCGGTTGGAGCGTCGGCCTGCAGACCAGAGAGGCCCGGGTTCGGTTCCCGCTAAGGGCACGTACCTCGGATGCAGTTTGTCCCCGGCCCTGACTGGAGTTGTGTGGGTGGCAACCACTCGCTGTCTCTCACCCATCCATGTGTGTGTCTCTCTCTCTCTCTCTCTTTCTCTTTCCCTCCCTCCTCTCTCTCTCTCAAGATGAATGCAAAAAAAAAAAAATGTCCTCAGGTGAGGATGAAAAAAAAAAAAAGAAATATCCAAAGAATAATTTAAGAGAGCTGAAAATGGTTCCCCTTGAAACTGCTGCCTTAACTAGCCTTAGAGAACTACTGACTCTTTAAAGTGGGTCCATGAATGACTTCAAGACATAAAAACTGAAAAAAAAGAGAAAGAGAAAGTCTTAATGTATAAAGGGATTTTAAAACAATGTATTTAGAGTATTAAAACTTGTTTCTAACTACCTCTAACTTCTTTTCAGTAGCTAAAATAGTTTTTTTTTCTTTTAATATATATGTATTTTTATTGTTGACATTATTACAGATGTCCCCCATTTCCCGTGTTACCCGCCTCTGTCCAGCCCCTCCCCACACCACAGTCCTTCACCACACTATTGTCTGTGTCCATGGGCTATGCATATAAACATATACATTCTTTGATTTTTCCCTTCTTGTCCTCCCGCCCCCTGTGAACTATGTCAGTCTGTTCCATGCCTCCACGCCCTGGGACTTATTTTGTTGGTCAGTTTATTTTGTATTAGATTCCACAAATAAGTGAGATCAAGTGATATTTGTCTTTCTCTGATTGACTATTTCACTTAGCATAGCAATCTCCAGGTCCCTCCATGTCATCTCAAGGGGTAAGAGATCCATTTTTACAGCTGAGTAGTATTCCACTATATAAATGTACCAGTTTTTTTGTTGTTTTGTTTTTTCTTTTTTTTTTAATCTTTATTGTTGAGAGTATTACAGATGACCCCCCCCTTCCCTGAGTGCCTCTAACTTTTTGATAGTGATGCATGTTAAGGGAAGTAAATAAAGCAGTTGGTGTTTGGGGCACTAATACAATTTCAGAAAGACTGATCGGGCAGGGTCTCCCTGATGAAATGCTGGTGAGGACGGGGAAAAGCCCTAGGACACGAGGAGAGGCCGTGGGTACCTGGAAGAGGGGGTACCGGGCGCAGCAGCGGGCGCGAGGCCGGCGACGGGGTGTGCCCGGAGCCTCGGAACAGCGAGGCCGCTAGGACACGAGGAGAGGCCGTGGGTACCTGGAAGAGGGGGTACCGGGCGCAGCAGCGGGCGCGAGGCCGGCGACGGGGTGTGCCCGGAGCCTCTGGAACAGCGAGGCCGCTAGCACGGCTGGCGCAGGGGGGCCCCGGGGCGGGTGCAGGCAATGTAGGATCTCTGAGGGCAGGGTCAGGGCTTGGGGTCTTCCTCTGAGTAGGCCTGCCCAGATAACTGCAGAGTCCATAGTAAGAACGCAAATGATACCATGTGTTTAAATACGTGAAAGCTGGAAGTCAAGCTAATAAAGTACTACATAAAATATGTTCTCTTCTCCCCGACATTTAAGATAGTCTTGAAGGCCGGTATGAACATGAGAATTCTTGAATCTCAGAACGACTGAGTGGGGGAGCCTACCCACCTCCTGCCCCCGGCCCGCGGTCTATGCCCTCTCCTCCGCTCCCGGCTCCCCTGCCCTGAGGGCGCTCCGCGTGAGCGCCCCCGGGAAGAGGCCCTCGCAGGCCCGGAAGCAGGCTACAAGTGTTGCGCGAGGAATTCCGTTAACTTCCGACCCAGAGTGCCCTGCGGCGGGCACAGGTTCTGGGACGGCTGTGCTCCCCGACGCCCCACAGATCGGGAGGAACCACGGGCAAGCCAGACAAGGGTCTCTAGACGGCGGAGCCAGGGCAGGAACCTGAGCCTAAGAGCACTTCTGACTCCCACCCAGTTACCAAAATAAGCTAAGGAAGAAAAAGCATTCAAGTGAAATTCTTTGGTGGCAGGGCCTTGTCTGGATTTTCCTTGTATTTTACATCTTACAGCCACTGAGTATGTTACATAAATGTTCCTTAAAGTAAATTGAACAGGGAAAAAACAACAACAAAACAAAACAAGAAAGTGTTTCCCAATTACACACTAAAGTAAACAGAAAGTCAGACCCTCAGCTAAATGGTGACCTACTGTCCAAACCAGAATCCTTTGAGAGTGAAAGGAGATGTTATGAAGATTTACGGAGTCATCAGGCATAAACTGAGACTGTCCTAGCAAAGTTGGGACAAAGTTGGGACATATGTCTACTCTTGCTTTAACTCCTTTATAACCACACTGACATATTTTTCCAGGGGAGAAGCTGATCTGCCATGGCTGTTACCTCACATGCCTAAGGCCTTAGCTGCTACCAGAAAGGGGACAAGCGTGGGGTCCGGCGGGTAACCGCTGGCACAGCTGAGTTTAGCAATGGGAGAGGCAGGGCAGCAAAGGGAAGAACAGCATGCCCTCTCCATTTATCTTTCCTATTCAGTGAAAGCTCTTCTCTCTCCCTTAGTTCTCCTTTCAATATTTTCACAGTCAACAAATAGCTACACCACCACACTGAGTAAGGTGCTAGGGACACACTGGTCAGAACAGATCCCTGCCCTCATGCAAATTACTTTGCATTTTGAATTGCTATGAAAATATTTAAATAAAAGATGTTATTTTCATAGCCCCCATTTGAGTTTACTTGAAGTACATCCCCAAAATAGAATGACCTGATCAAAGAGTAAGAACAGATCATAATTTTTATTATATAGGTCCAAACTTCATTCAGGCAGAAAGCTTTACCAACTCACAATGTCATTAGCATACAGGCCATATCTGAGTTATTCATAATTTGTAAAACATAGTATTTCATGATTTATATATATATAAAACCTCATAATTTCAAACCTCAGAATCCTTAGCACTCATCAGATAAATTTACAAAGGTGGAAACTGAGCTCCAGAGAGGTTAAGTGACTGGCAGGGAACAAACAGCTGCTTAGCAAATGTTTATAGCAGCTTTATTCATTATTGCCAAAACTTGCAAGCAACCGAGATGTCCTTCAGTAGGTGAATAGATAATTTGTGTTACATCCAAACCATGGAATATTATTCAGTGCTAAGAAGAAATAAGCTATCAAGCCATGAAAGACACGGAGGAACCTTAAGTGAAATAAATAAATAAATAAGCAAATCTGGAAAAGCTACATATGTATGAAACCAATTACATGACAATCTGGAAAAGGCAAAACGACAGAGACAGTAAAAAAACATCAGTGATTGTCAGGGGTCATGGGGGACAGATGAACAGATAGCACATGGAGTATTTTTAGGGCAATGAAACTACTCTATATGATACTGGTGAGTACAACACTAAGAGTGAATCCTAATGTGAACTATGGACTTTGGGTGATTATGATGGTTCAGTGCAGGTTCACCTACTGCAATAGATCTACACTCTGGTGCAGTCTTTTCATAGTGGGGGAGACTGTCTACATGGAGGCAGGAGGTATATGGACAATCTCTGTAACTTCCACTCCGTTCTGCTGTGACACTAACAGTGTTCTTAAAAATTAAGTCTATTTAAAAAGCTGGCATGGAAAAAAGGGATTAGAACCTGCTTTTGTGGTTGCTTCCATTTTTAATGCATTTGCACTATAGGCTTTTGCATTAATGTTTTTGTTTGTTTGGTGTGGTTTTTTTGGCACCACCTTATACATTTCTTGAGTAAGTCTCCTATAAAATAAATGTACTTTGGAGATGTCTAAGCTATACTAGTTGCTAGAAAAACTATATATTCTTCATAAAGGCTTTCTATTAATATTTCTTCATGTGTGCACTGTTTCTCTCCAACTATCAGGCAGAATTCTGTAACAGGCTAAATAAAATTCTATCAAATCTTCACCTATTTTGCATAGAAAGATTTTATCAGACATATTGGTAAAATATTGTCTCTGCTTTTTAAACATTCCTTTCCATATATATTTTATTATATTTTGGGTGTCAACATCTTTTATTTTCATAAATTCAAATCCATCTTACTAAATATACCTTCACCTCTTTAAAAGTGAGCAACATTTTCCCACTGTACAGCTAGAACATGCCTTTCCATTTCCTTTACTTTGTTTTCTGTTTAACGTCATGCACTGTACATAATAGGCACTTAAATGTGTGCTGAATTTTAAACAAGCATTTATA